TTTCAATAACATGTCGCCAATAGATCAACTAACTTATAAATAGATACATTAAACTAATATAAAGTAAATAAAACCTTATCGGCTGAGGGTTCGGACGACTACAATATTTGTATAACCTTTGTTCAATGATGAGACATCGTCAGGAGACTTTCAATCCGAAGCCTACATTACTTATTTTACAATTCCTAAGATTCTAGCCCTACACTCCATATGGGTGCTTTAATGCTTGATTCTTCAGCGGATGCTATAATACCGTCCACCACCGAGGACCTGTGTCGGTTCTCTGCCTCACTGGAAGAGTGATCTGTGTGGTATAGGTCCTTGAACACGCATCGACGATAATGCCGAGGTTCCGAAGAAAGTCACTGGCGTGCACTGGAGCTCTTCGGGAGAAAAAGCAGATGAAGCAGATGCCTGGGGAGGAAGTGTGACGCGTAATGAGAAGAGCAAGGGCGAGGAAGAATATCTCTCGAAACAGAAACTGGACAGTACGAAGAACAATACCAAAGGAAGCACGTAAGAACTTTCGGGCTTGACATAGCAGAATATACAGAAATATTTAAACTGGCTTCAACCGGGAAATATGAGTTCGGATACAAGAGTTGTCAGGGCAGATTAAATTTACGGAAAAGGCAGTGGTGAACTGAGAAATCGTAAATGGCCTCCGGTATCTAGGGGCAAACCTTGGTCCCATCGACTCTGGAAAAAATTGTGAACCATAACAGACCGACCAACTTTATAAGGACCAGTAGGAGATTAGAATTATAATACCGGCGAAAACGTTCATGAGAACGGCGAAGATTATGGCGCGCTTTATTCCATATCTCACGTAATTCAGGAAGCTCAGGATGGTCCAGCAACGTATTAGAAAGGGTGTTATTCAGGCGGAATAAAAAACGCCAAGGAAACAGGAGTATGTCCTAAAGACTCATGGCGAGCAGCATTAAGAGCGAATTCAAACCAGTGCAACTCGGAATCACGTAAGACATCGTTAACATGGCTGTAAGATATCAAAACGGACTTCAGATTCCTAATGAAAGGTCCGGTATGGGACGTATAAGGGTAATAGGGTGTGATGGTGAAATGGGACACACCAAGACCAAAACAAAAACGTCGAAACTCACGACTAGTAACCTGAGTACCATTATCAGATACAATGAACCGGCAAGTAACGATATTAACGAAATACATTTCAAACAGTCTGTGGCGACAGGCGACGTAGCTTTCCTGATTGGCAAAACCCAGGTAAATTTCGAAAAAAAGCATCCACACAACCAAGAACATAAGAATTACAGGACATGGATCTAGGAAACGGACCCATAAAATCAATGAAAATTTTCTCCATCAGTGCTGTGGCCAATTCTGATGCGAGGAGACCAAAATGGACGGAACGGGCCGGTTTACTCGTGCAGCAAATCTGACAAGCTTCGACGCGGGCAGCGGTATCATTCTCCATTCCCTTTCAAACAAAAGCTTAACGGGCCGCATGGCGAGTTTTATGCATTCCAAGATAACCACCACGTGGAGACTCGTAAAACCGGAAAACTACGGGAATTAACTGTTGAGACACAACAACCCTTGGCATGTTCGAGATATAACCGAACCTGTTGAAGTTGGGTGTAATTCAATTTCGATGGCCTCCCTGATCCACGTATCCGGATTTCGTTGACAGGATGGAGGTGTCCTGGAGTTGGATGCGGTGGCCCCGGTTGAAGCAGTGCTCGGCCACGGCGGATTTTTCACGTGGCTCCAGCCGGATGTGGCATTGATGCTACGTGACCCTAGTCTCGATAGAACGGCCGGTCTGTCCAATGTACACTTTGCCGCACTCACAGGCAGCCTGCTGATGCGGTTGAATGTCGTTCTAACGTTGGGTGAGAAGGCATCCGGGGCTGGTCTCTCCGAGGGCGGTGTCACCCTCGCTGGTAGGTTGAGGGCTCGTCGGATCTGCCGGTCGCTGTAACCGTTCTGTCTGAAAGTGGCTGCTGGCCTTCCGCCTAAGGAGATTCCAGTTTCCTTTGGCCTGTGAAGGATGACCCAGGACTCAAGACGCCTGTTGTATACAGCGTTCCCTGTGAGTGCGGCAAAGTGTACATTGAACAGACCGGCCGGTCTATGGAGACTGAGGTAAAGGAGAACCAGCGCCACTTCTGGCTGGAGCACCCTGAAAAATCTAATAAAGGGCAATTGCAATAACTGAGTAAGAATTTCCTGAATCAAGCAGAGAAAAACATCGTAATCGACAATGCGAATGCAAACCCGCGGTACAACCGGCGAAAGAACCGCAAAAAGTTTCGAACGCTTGAAACAATAAATATGGACGAGTCCGGAGCGGGGCCTTTTCTAGTTGGCATGTCCGGGTCACGGGCGTTTGTTTATTGGGATCCTGGGAGGGCTTGAAGTGATGGCTATGAAACTCTTACAAAGGTAAGTCAAATGGCGTAGGCGCGTCATAATTCTGGGGCACTGATTGGGCGTACTGTTGTTGTCAGCCCAAACGTCACTTACGACTTCCTGGATTTGACGGAATTTAATGCGCAATGTTCGCAACTCACCCATTGGTTCGACGGAGTCTAAGGCCGAGATGTGAATCTCGCTGCCAGCTAATTCACGTAAATATTTCGATGGTTGGTGACCTTCAACTGTTGTGTGTACGCCCTTGAATATGATGACCTCGTACTCCAGCTAATCCTTCCTGAAGTATTCCGGATTCGGAAGTGCTCGATCCATGATAACGGACGAACAGAATACCTGAAGTCGGTTGGATCGTAAAAACCACGGTCCGTGCTACCACTTGAGACGCCCTTAGACCCGAAAACCCTTTCAACAAATCGTTTATTGACAAACTACTTGTTATAACCTATGAATTACACAACAGTATACAGTACATAGGTGATTACAAACAGTTAACAGGTATATAAATAAACACCTACGGGTAAACCGAGAATTAAATACCGTCCAGCGCCGAGGACCTGTGCCGGATCTCTGCCCCACAGTTTTCAATCCAGAAAAACAGACTCCAATTCGGTCGGAAACAATTGGAAGCGACGTGGAACGTGCGATCACCAGCAAAGACTAACTCGGACTGGTCCCCGTACGACACAAGAAAACAACAGATGACCAGGGCGCACTCTGACGGGTTGAGAACAGGTTGACAGAAAGTAAAGTATGTAAGGTACAGGGTGACAAGGAAGGAAACGTCACATGGCAGACGATTTTATTAAAACAAACTCATGCAGATTGATGAAATTTTATTGTACACAGAGGTTTCCGACATCCACCCTCTCAAAACTTCCCGGATTGAAGACAGATAAGTCGGTTTCTCATCATTAGGTGAAAATATTTAGTTGCCAGTGATGTTTGCCAACAACGGTTTGCGGTTTGATGATAAAAAAGCCCGCATTCTTGGGAAAAATAAATATAATCAAAATTCCAAGTCAAGAGGGATATTTCACAACAAAGGAGACCTAAAAATGCCATGCCCCTTTTCTGGAATTTACATAAATGAGTCCTGTCTGCATTACTGACCATCAGACATCATCCCTCATTCTTCCTTCGACGTAAGAACAAGAATTAAATTAGTTCTGGTGGGATTTCAGGTTCTCACAGCGGTGCCAATTATTCTGGTAGAAATTTACCGGCATTTCAGATGTGCTTATTACCTTAATCATCAGGACGATGAGTAACTCATCAGAATCCACCTTCACCGAGACTCAAACCCAGAACACTTCCTCAGACTTTTCACCTTTCAAAATGTCTCTCCCTGGTTCCAAGAATTAAGCATGTAAATTTTGGGCCAAAATTGCTTTATCCGTTGTCGAGTTATAAGTCAAAATATACACCCAAAATTTTAATTATTTATGTGCGATTTAATGGTTTCTTAAGGCCTATGTTATTCATACTATTACAACATTGACATCTTGATAATGTTGACAATTTTGCTGATGTTATAATCTGTCCTATTGCTAATTATATTATTATTTTAACGGCACTTTTAAAAGCATTATTTTTACTCTACAATCTGCAAAATGTTATTTTCTAAACGTTAATAACAAACGAGTTAAAAATGCATCCAGTCTAAGACATGCGTACTCTACTAGAAGACTGCACGTTTGTACACAAAAGTCTTATTCTTCGAATGAAAGCAAAAGCGTCCATACATCTCTCTGTTTATGGACCGATATGGGTTCTAGAAATTGGCACTCACATATGGGCTTATATAGCGGTAGCAGGAGGAGAAAATATTTGAAAAATAACAGCTTCTGAGAGGGTTTGTGTTCTCCAATGACACCGCAGGGTGTAGACCATGTAAGTGGTAGTATAAATTATGTAAATGGTCCTATCGACTATTTTTTTTTGTTATACGCTTTGTATCATAGGCCTTATGTACTGTTTACATATTACACAGCAATGCACGTAGGAAAATGGCTGCTGTTTATTGCTAACTGTTGTGTATACAGGTGCAGCGTCATGGTTTTGAAATTGTGTAGACCACGAGTCTTATGTATAAATATTTGTTATCAATTTGAACATATTTAACAATTACGCCTACAAAAACAGCTTTTATATAATAGCCCGTAAATAATTTTACAATCAGCGCCTTAGTAAAGTGCGCAACTGCGTAACATCGTAAAGGCAGAGGAGTAAATACGAACTTAATATTTGCAAATAAATTTAAATTACACTATGAAAATGGTTTTACCGTCAACGGGTGATTTTCACAGCTGGTTGGGTAGTGCGATGCTGAATCGATAATTTTTATGGCTCTTTGCATCTAAGCCAGTTTACAGTGAAGTAAGATTTCACTTCCTGGAACATGCTTTTATACTTTTATGATTTTATCGGAGTAAAACCTATAGGCCTACTCCGTAACATTCTGAAATAAATTGAACTAAGAATTATGACCCCCTCGGTCACATTTAAGCGATGCACTGTTGCCATTACTATTATTAATATTGTTTTTATTGTTGATGTTGAATTAGAATGGGGTAAAGGAAACCGATCGTAGCCTACTTTAAGGTTATTTTTTAAGGGGCTAATGAACCGCGAAAAATCTGGTAACATACAAGATCTCCGATACGAAATTTGAAACCTGGTTCTTTTGCATACAAAACAGAATATTTTATTTGAATGTTATGATAATTTATTAATCAGTTTGGAAAGGAACTATGTGTGTTACACACGTTGTGTAATTAAATCATTGGAAATTTGATCTGTATATTTTTCTTAAAAACACGTTAAATAGAGAAAAGAATAAGTTATATTGCATAAATAGGTGATTAAATGCGAGAGTAGAAAGACACTTCTTTGGAGGTCTAGAGTCATGGTTGAACCGACAGATACCATTTACCCACTAACTTTTCTCTTCTGTCGGTTACAGTATCAGATCATGGATTAAAACACGGACAGCATTTCATATTCTTTTCTTGTACTTGTCATTTACATTGTGTGACGCTGTTTAGCCCCTAGTTAGTTTGTTACTCTGTCCGTCACTCACTCATCATTCATTCTGTTGGTAGTGTTACTGCAACAGCTGCCAGTTGCCCACCACAGTGCACAAGTATCAGTGGCGTGCAGCCACAATATAAATTGTACTATCTGGGTTAAGCATGATCCATATCCTGATGACTCTGCGCTTCAGCTGCTAAAAATTTCTTAAATATAATGACAGATGACTTGACAATAATTAATGGAATATCGAGGAAGTAGAAGGGGGTTACTGACGTCTGTTCTAAGGAAGACGTTACAGGTCACGTCAGAATGTTCTTCCTAAATCCGAAGTAGGATTGGGAAATGACATTGGCGAATATTTCAGTGTTTTATGGCATATTTTCCGATGATAATCGCCCGAGAAGATGTTTGAAATGCACTGATATCCTCAATGTTTTATAGTCCTTGTGTTACGTTTGAACGATTCAAGTAGCTAAGAGTTTGGATTTTATGTTCAGTGTAGGGTGAGGTCACCAGTGGGTCATGGGGACGAAATTTAAATTTGCCAAAAATTGCTTGGGAGCCAACGTGTTAAAAATACAGATTATTATCAAAACCGTATGTCACTGAAATAAGTGAACGTATCAGAGTTGTTTTATGAATGCATAATTAGTTTTCGCAAAATAAAAAAGGGTTTAAAATACGAAGGTGACTTGCGGCTTTAGCCTGTTGCGCTAAATATATTCTGCTGGACCAACCATTTTCTCGTTAATTAATGTCATAATCTGCAGTTATGTCATACAATTTGTCATCTCCTAGACAGTCTCGGGATTAATTTTTTCCCTGAGTGCTAAATTAATTGTTTCATTTCTTATATTGAAACTATAAAATTGCATAACGGATAATTGTAGCAGTTAATTAAGTAATCAATTCTGTGTTTTAGTATTTTATAACTTAAGCTCTTTCTCTTACACAATAGGTAATTACTTGACTTCTTGGTAGGCTAATGGTAGTAACTTCGTTCTAAGAATCTAATCCAAAGATTCTTAAATGGCAAGAACCACATGACGCTAATTACAAGAGGCTGATAATCAAGCATTTAATATGTGTAAGCATGTCAGTAATATCCGAGGTTCAGTACTTACACGTGTGAGGAATAGTTTGGAAACTGGAAAGAATGTTGATCCAAAAATGGAACAGAATGAACTACTTTGTTATGCCAGACTCATTACAGCTGTAAACGCAGAATCAAATTCAAGGCACTTGAAGTAATAGACCAGCACAGAAACTGGAAATGATATTAAATGAAAGCTAGACCTGTCGAAGGTAAATTTACCTTCTTCACACTCCATTTTCTGAAATAAGACAGATTGTTTATGTAAAATATCAATTTTGAATTTAAAAACATCGGTTATTTTAAAAAATAACTTATTCAAGAAAAGTATTGCTGTATTACATTATGTTCTTCGTTCCTTATTTTATATCACAGCTCAAAACAAAGTTTTTTATTGGTTTCAAAAGACGTTCAGTCATTAGTCTAATGCTGAAGACCAGTATGTTATACATCACAAAAGCCGACTTTACTTATAAAAAGCAAACAACAGCGTAATATTCCCCGGCTCTCAATATAATGTATTTTTGTAATACGTGCACTGCCTCACTTGTAATGGGCCTTCATGATGAGACATGGTATGGCACAGGAACTGTACAGAGTAGACGTTCACTAAACAAAATTAAGACCTTAAAACAGAGAGCTGCCAAATCATTGCTGAGTTACATATGTCTGTCCAGCTGCAGTTATTGTATGTATTCCAGCCATGCCTTTCACGGGCAGCAAGCCACATGCAATCTATCGATTAACGTCAACTCTCTCTCGATTTACGGAACATATCTCAATTATTTAGTCTTCATTTGTAACAAGGAACTCTCTGTCCTCTCTGTATTTTAAATGACTCTCTCTACTGAGCTGTTCACCCTACCCCAGCCCACTGGGTTCATTCAGTTGACTTATGATTGTGTCAGTAAGGCGAATGCTTTGCCCCGCCTATCACGTCCATTCCTGTCTCTTATAATGAACCAACTAGGTAATAAATTCTGGTCTTTGCGTAGTAATATACTAGACTAAATAAAAGAAACTATTGGGTGTTCAAGGTAATTAGTTATCAGTTACAACTATCGTCTTTAGTAAAATATGAATATACAGTAATGTAAATTTTATATGCCACATATACATACGTAAATATAGGTTGTAATAATGTCGAATTATTTTTTCTCGTTTCATGAACATTCGTTTTTCTTCATTTGGATGATGATAATTTTACACATGTGGTATGTGGTTGAGCTTTGAATGATCTCGATGGACAATAGGCACTAATAATTTGTGTATGAAGAACCTGGGTTTTACAAAAGCAGAACCGATATTTAAGAATGTTATCAGTTTTAATACTGTAACAAGCTTATTCCCGATATTTAAAAATCTTGAAGTATATCGACCCTATATCAGTTACAACTGCGTACGTCCCTCGTCTTCTATGTGTGTACTTGTCTTCTTGGCTTTGGTCAGTTGGCCCTCTGTGTATGAAACAAAATAGCGTGTTTATAAACATATCTGAAAGTTACATGTTTGTGCTTGTCGAGATTTGACTGTTATTGATCTGGTAATTGTTAAAAAG